GTTGCTTTGCAAAAGAAAAAAAAAAGAGATAGCAATCTTCTTCCAGAATGATTATAGTCTAGGACACCATATGGTGGAATTCTACTCTGCCTTATAAATTCACTATGAATCTGAAAAAAAAAACTTGTTTTCAATAGGTTCATTGCAAAGTACTCATTAATGATTAAATGGTCATGTCTTTAATCATGTCACAATTCCAAATTCCTGAGCTCAGAGAAGTATGCACATCATTCTTGTCTTGTACTGATTTCTGGTTTCTCTCTATTCTGTTCATGGGGCTTAGATAAAATATTTCATATTCCTATCTGTATAAGTAAAAAGTTTATTAAAAGTCTTTATCCTGTTCCTAATCATGTTTTTGTTTTGTCATTTTTATTAATTGGCATCAAGTTGGGTCTAATTCATAGCAACGCCATAGATAAGACTGAAAGGCTGCCTGGTCCTGCTCCGTCTTCATGGTGGCTAATTGATGGTGTCAGTCCATCTCCTTGAGAAATGTCCTCACTTTGATTGTCTCTGCATTTGCCCAGATGGGAGAGTGATCAGTGCTGCTCAATGCTGAGTGAATCAAAGTCTTGGATGATATTCTCAGATCCATAGGTTTGCACAGGCTGACTTTGGGAGGATGATCTCCAGGCTTTTCTTCCTTCTCTGTTTAGTCTAGAAACTATTCAGAACCTTCTTGATTGTGAGTGATCCCCTTGGCAGTGTAAATATTGATGGCAACATGCGAAGTCTGGCAAACTTTGCATCTCTTGGCTGAGATGATCCCTCTTGATTACAGTCAACGTTTATTGAATTGTGTCTCACTACGTAGGTGAGTATACTATATATAGTATAGTATATATAGAATTGACCTCTGTTCCTAATGGACCTCTGTATTCCTGTGTTGTTATTGTCAAGTTATTGTTGAGACTGTCTCTGTTGTTATTGTCTAGACCGTCTCCATTTTTATTGTCAAGACTGTCTCCGTTGTTATTGTTGAGATTGTCAAATTGGGACTGAATCACAGCTGACTCTCCAGTGAGTTTTCAGAGGTATTTAACTGCACAGGAGGAAACTGCCTGTCTTTATCTCAAGGAGGAGGTGGTGGAGGCAAACCACATGCCTTCAGACTGGCAGCAACGTCTTACCGCTAAGTCACCAGGACTCTCTACCTATGGGTAAATTAGGGAATTCTGATGGTCTGGTCCATAGGGAATTGCATTGCCAGTCTAGAGATTACCCCTCTCTTACAGATCAAATCCACCAACTACTTTGAAGGAGGTAGATGGACAGCTTTCTCTTGTGTGATTAGAAACCCAAGGGAGGGTCAACGATGAGTCAATGCCACCTTAATGGCAAGGAGCTTTAATTGTTTTTTTTTTAAATGAGGAATTTAAAAAAATATTATTATACTTCTTTATTTTTTGTATCTTCTCACTACAATGTAATGATGGGTCTTTGGCTTACCTGGTATTCCTAGCATCCAGAAAAGTGTGTGTCATATATTATACAGTTGCTGGATGTTTTCTTAACTAGTCAGTTAATCAGATCTAACTTTCACAGTAGCTAGGGATTTGTCAATAGGCAATCTGTTTGTAAAGGCTGAACAGCTCGTCACTCTGGTGAGCGTATTAAAGCATCCTTATTATCTGCAGAATATAGATAATCTGTCAGTCCAAAACCAGGAGGTTCAAATTCACCAGCTTCTCCTCAGGTGAAAAATGTATAATCTTTTTCCTTGGGACTTACAGCCTCTGAAAACCATCTGGAGGGTCAGCTGTGAGTCAGATGCATCTTGGTGGCACAGAAGAATAATCACAACATAGACAATCTGAACGCGAAAATTCTCTTAACTGGTTATGACAGAAATGTGCAGGTGTACTGGAGAGCACAGCAGTGGGTTAATAGTCAATTACGCACCCTGAACAGTGGCCATTTTGCTTTCCTGTTGTTTTAGTTTAATACAACTTTGCCTCTCGTTAGTTTTTAATCTTTTAGAGATTTAGGTTTGCTGAAATCTGTCATATTTGGTTTTGATTTGAATTAATCTTTTTATTTTCATTTTAAGAGGAAAGTAAAATAGCATTCCTCCAACCTCCACCCCCCCCAACCAAATGCAGTGTTTTGTGTGCTCACTTGCAGAGAGTCGCTGATTTTGATGTTTACTTATATTTTCTTTTGTTTCCCCCTCTTTCTTGTGTAGATTGTTGGCTTTTTTTATGCTAGATTGGAAGGCTGCCTGTATATTTAAAAAACAATGCTTTTGGAATATCACTATCAAAAAGAAAACAGTAGTTATTTATTTCCTCTTATCAAAAATGAGAACATGGACAGATTTTTACTTACTCTCATCATTCCACCCTTTTGTTTTTTGGAGTTTCTTTTTTCATAATAGCAAATTATAGACCTTGATCACAATAGCTAATATTTTACATACTATAATAGTCTCCGTAAGTAATTATTTTTTTACATTAACCTTATGTTTGTAATAGATCTAGAGCAATTATTTAGCATTAACACTACATTTAATTAGTTCCAGAGCTCACTGTAGGTTTTTAAAATTCCATTTTACTCTGCCCTTAATTTCTTTATTTTGATTCACTGCTCAATCAATAGCTCTTTGAATGATTTATTAGAAGCAGGGTGTGCGGAAGCCCCTGGATGCTGAGAAGGTCTTTCTGGTACATTTGCACATGACTACCAAGGTGGCTGATAAGGACTCTGTGAGCTATAACACTTTCTCCTCTAAAATTCTCTAACACAGGTGCACTTTCCGCTGCTCTTGATGACAAGGAGAAATTTGTTAGGCTGAGGGTAGCTCTTCTCTTCCTGAGGACCCTTTCCCCCAGCTCTTTTCAGCAAAACTTACTACTAAATACAGTGATTTGAATCAGTGTGTGGTCTCTACTTTGCTAGGAAAATAGAAACCTCTGAGTGGCCAATTCCTGCAGTCTTTCCTCCCTTCTCCTGTGAAGTCGATGGCATGAATTTGGTCCACATACTTGGCAGGACACGCCATCCAATTCTATCCTGGGCTGTGCCTCACTATCTGGAATCTTAGCTACAAAATAGAAGTACTACTATAGAAGATTTAAGGAAGCAAATGACTGTGTGCATCTCAGCATCAGTAGTAGAAAAGGATTCTGAGAACAAGCCATGACAGAGTTGGGAGACTTCTGGTCTCTGTGACAAAGGTTCATGTCTTGGGGAGATGTACAATTCGATGTTCGTGGAGCAAATCTCCACTCTCACCTGCTATTCAGCTCAGAGCTCAACCATGCTCAAGGTGGGAAAATTCCTTACGGGGTTAGATTGCAAGGGTTTTGGTTCCTTGACTTATTCTCTTACAAGAATTTATTCATTTCTTATTGAGAATGATGGCAGAGGGTAAATGAAACTATTTCTTCCCCATCAGAGCCTGGAAACCCAACAGCACTTCTTGACATGTTACCAAGAGTAGTGAAAACCACACCTGCTCAATGTGTTATGCTGAGCCACTAAACTGTCCAACAGGAAACGCAGAGAGCCAAGAAGATCAAGATGGGCCCCCAGATGCCTCTCCCTATCTCTATCTTCCCCCTCAACCTATCAGTGTTTCCTGCAGAGGGAAGACCATCTGCACAGGTGGAAGGCAGTCTGGCTTCTCCTCTTATATACTTTTAAACTCTCTGTGAGAAGTGTTGCTTGAGCCAGTAATAAATGCAGAACCAAAATACCAATGTGGAATTTAAATGGACTTGTGGACATTCTAAATGTTAATTAGTTCCTCAGTCAGGTTTCTCGGCTGGCAGTGAATGGCTGCCACTGGCACACAGCATTCTCTGCCTTGGCCATCCAGAGCCCTCACAATCTGTTTCCCACATACCTCACCAAACCTAGCTTTTGTCTCAGTCTTCCCATCTCCAATGAGTTTCTCATGTCTCGAGATACACAGCAGAGCCTGACATGTGTCAGCCTCCCTTACATCTATCTCTTTAAACTCTTGAGAGCATGTATCATACAACCGCAATACTTATCAGCTCCCTAGCACATGTCAGGGTTCCTTGAACGTTTGTGAAATAAAATATGTCCACAAAATAGCATCCATTATGGTGAATAAAAGTTTGGATCATTAGAAGGATAAAAGATGTGGAGCCTCCAGAAAAGATTAGTGGGTATTCTTAGAAAGAGGAAAAGTGGGTCATTATTTTTATGTAACTGGAGAAATTTGAATGAAGGAAGATGATAGGGGTTCTATGAGACCCCAAGAGTGTGAAGATGGAAAACAAAGGGTAGAAGCTACAAGAAACTTTTTAATAATAAAAATCTTTCTTAGAGTGAAAAATCACCAAAGCAAACTTTGCCTTAGAAATAAATTTGTTCCTTGACACTGGAGATACTAAATAGAGTACTGGTGTTAATTAGAATGATATTTTAATATGGGCTAAAGGACTTGTTATGGGTGGGTGGGTGTGTGGGAGGGCGGGGTAGGCACAGAATGATCTTTCAAACCTTATGTTTTGATGTGTGACTATAACTACCTCTTGACCTGAGAAATATTTCACATCCAAACAACTGATATATCTTTGGAGAAAAAAAATATTATGTAAACTCCTCCTGTGCAACATACTGCCTCTGAAAACCTGCTGGAGGTTCACCTATGGTTCTATTCTCAACGGTACCCAATACTGGGGGATAATAGACTGAAGTCCCAATCAGGTCATGTGATTCATTAAAGGTGGAATCAGAACATTTTTTTTTAAAATAAAAGGCCAGATAGTAAATAATTTTTGCCTTGTGGCCTGTGGAGTCTCTGCTGTAACAACACAGTTTTGAAAACACTCATAGACAACATGTTAATTAATGGGAATGTCTGTGTTCCAGTAAATATTTACTTATTTAAAAATAAATAATAAAATATTAAAAATATAGAGAATTAGATTTAATCTACAGTCTTAGTTTGTTGATTTCTCCATCTTACTTGAGAATGGATATATTTAAAAAAAAAAAAAGGCAAGAAAGCCCTTCATACTTACTCCATTAGCTTTGCTGAGTGCCTGGAAATAGATGCTGTAGCTCTTCAGGGGGGAGAGAGGAGGGTTCCAGTAGCCATTGTAAGTCTTGTTGTCACCCACTGTAAATGGCTGAGTGACAGGCAGGTTGGCAGGCTTCAGTTCAGCAGCAAAATAGTGCTGAGAATCCAAGTTGGAGGCGTTCCGGTAGCTCACCGGCACTGAGAAACACTCGATGATGTCAGCTGCCCTTCGTGACTTCTGAAGTCTCTCCTCCTTGACAACAAGCTGGTAAACACTGGACAAGAAAGAGAAGAGGCAGATGAGCAACTGTTGGGAGGGAACACGCTCACTTACTCCCTGGGAGTCAGCAAAGCCGCCCCCACATTGGAACACTGTCATCACATCTGTCTTCAACTAAACCTTCTTCCTGGACTTGAGATTTACTAACCCCCTGTTTTCTTGAACACTGTCTCCTCTTTGATACCTGAAAGCCAACTCACATTGGACATACTGAAAACTTGTCTGAGGCCTACTCCTATAAACTTACCTGAACCTATATTTATTTCCTTGGTGAAGTATACCACTCTGTCCAAGTGGCCAGATCCTGGAAATAGGGATCAACCTCACTTCCTACCTCCTTAGTTCTCTTTCTCTCTACTTCCCTCCTTCCCCAGTTTTCAAGCTCTAATGTTTTGTTTTGTTTTTTAAAATTGTGATTTTAGCTAAAGTTCATAGAAAGGATAGGTTTTCAAGAATTCATTCATATGTATTTTCCTCCCCATTTCAGTTTGCAATGCATGTCTTATATCATATTGTTAATTGTCATCCATATAATGTCTAATCATCCATTCCTTTCAGATAATCCTTCCCTCTTCCTATTCTATTGTAGTGTTCCTTATCTCCCCATCCTTTTCCTTTTCTCCCCTCCCCTGTGCCCATCCTATTTTTATAACAGTGGTCTATTGCAGCTTTTGTCTTTTTGTGACTGAGATACTTCACTCAGCATAATGCCTTCCAGACTCATACATGTTGTGTAGTGTTTCACAAGGTCATTTTTCAGTGCTGCGTAATATTCCTTTGGGTGGATGTACCAAAGTTTTCTCATCCTTTCATTTGTTGACACGCACTTAGCCTACTTCCATCCCATCACTATTGTGAATAATGCTACAGCAAATGTGGGTGTGCATGCATCTGTTTGTATCGTGGCTCTGGTTTCTTTAGCGTATATTCCCAGTAGTGGGACAGCTGGGTCAAATGGTATTTCTATTTCCAACTTTTGAAAGGGCATAAGACTGCCTGCCATTGTTGTACCATTTTACATTCATACCAGCAGTGAAGGGGAGTTCCACTCTCTCCACATTCTCACCAGGATTTGTTTGCTGCCCTGTTGAACTTTAGTAGTACTGCTGAGGTGAGATCATATTTTGAACATTTCTTCATGTGTTGGTTGACCATCTGAATTTCCTATCTGGTGGAGTATTTATTCATATCTTGTGCCCATTTTGTGATTGAGTTCTTTTCCTTTTTCTTGTTGAGGTGATGGAATATTCTATAAATTTTAGATATGGGTCCCTTATCAGACATGCCATTACCAAATATTTATCCCAGTCTTTGAAAATACAGCCCGGCCTTGGTATCTCTAATCAACAAGCCCCACTGACTTGACCTCAGCAGTGCCTCACCTGCCCTTGCTCTTTTTTTCCTTTAATGTCCAGACTGGGAACTTCTCCCCTCTTACCTGAGTTCAACTGGTCTCTTAGCCTCTCATTTATGTGATGCGGTTAACATTGATCTATTTATCTCCATTGCCCAAATGATTTAGTATAAACCACTCGTCCTATTATTGGAAGTTTTTTCCTGTTCAATTCCAGGTACCTTTCAGAAAACCTTCTCATAATGCCCTATATTCCACAGTTCAGCACTTCCATATACTATGCTATTGCACTGACATCCTTTAAAATTAATTCTGTCCTATCTCTGGCTCATAATTCCTCTACCTACAATGCCATTCATTCTGCCTACAACTGCCTTTCTCCACATGCTCAGATTATCTTTTGCCTTCTCTAATTAAACTTGCTCAGATTCTTCCAATTCAGATGGAATTCCCCCCACTGATTTCCTCTACAGTTCACTAACTGCTTATTACTGCCATAGCATGAATGTAGGACTTCTGTGTTACTGGCTAGACTCTCATTTTCTGAAAGTGTGAGTGGTGGTGAAGTCCTAGCTACACCTCCATTCCCCCCACCCCCATTCAGCAGGATAATTGACACGACTTAAGTAAGTGATCAATTAATTCTTGTTCCAATGAATAAAAATTAATTTCATTAAAACTGAAAGCATACATTAAGCCAAACCTGATTGGATACAGAAACCCTAATCAAGATAAGCAGTGATTCCCCGGAGCTCCTGTCTAGAGATCTCCTCTTCTTTACCTCAGATGGATGTTTAGTGTGTAAATAGAAATGACTGATTTCTTTTTTTACTATCATCTATGTCCCAGATATTTAGGCTCTTTATGTAGGAAAAAAATATGCTCTAACATTTGTAAATTTGGATAACATTTTTTCCCCAGTTCTTTGTATGCCCACATTTCTTACTATCCTTGAATAAATGCTTTTGTTTGGGAAAACCTTTATTGTGCAAATATGAGACTTATGACCTAAGAGAGAGGCATTGTCCAAAGAGTGCCCAGAAGAGGCTTTTGGGGATTGAGATAGTTGTAGCTGTGGCTCTAAACCAATAATTTATAAATAGCAGAGTGGATGAGAACTTGGTGAAGGTTACTACTTCCCTCCAACTAAACTGCTTATCTAAAGACATGTAAAAAGGGGATAAGTTCAGTGAATAGAGGCACCCCCCCCACCATTTCATCAAGGAATAAAGGTAGTTTGAAATATTGCCCCAAGGAAATGTAACACGGCAGAGTAAGAGTACATGTGAATCTCCCCGAACAAGGCAATGTCTAGTAGCTTGATCTAGTGAGCATGCTCAGAAGGTGCTGATGTTTGAGGGCAATGGGAAAAGGCAACAAGAGCAAAGGAACCACTGTGTGAATCAGAAAGCCCGTGGGTTTTTTTACTAGGGTAGCAAGATGCGATTTAGAGTCTGCTGAATTGGGTTTAGGCGTACTTAACCTCTCTAACCCCACATGACAAGGAGCCAACAATCATTTCCAAAAGCTAGAGTTAGAAAGAACTGTTGAAAAAAAAATAAATAAAAAAATAAAAAAAAAAAGAAAGAACTGTTGACCCATGCTTTCCCTTGAGGTCTGCTTTATCCCACCACTTGGGTTGAACCATGATGACAGCTTCGTCTTGGTTTCTTATTCCACCTTCTAGCTAAATCTGGAATCCTCCGGTCATCCCCGTGCTCCATACTGAGATCCCAAAGCCTCAGGAGTACTGTGGGGATGGATTCTACTCCTGGTACAATTTTTATTGTCCTTGTACTTTATATTTTTCTTCCACCCTGGATGAGATGGATTGACACAGTAACTAGGGTGTAATGGGGGTAGGTGTGTCAGAGACAATGAGACTCGCTCAGGATAGGGCTGAGTTCAGAGCTATTGTACTTAGGGTTGCCATGAGTTACAGGCAACTCAATGGCACATAACAACAACTTCTTACGATGGAATGAATCAAGGAGAGCCACAAGGCTGGCTGGTACCAGGTGCTACCTGTGGTTGGGACAGACAGCTGTGGACAGCCAAGCTAATGAATCCTATTGGGCTCTGAACCATTGAATGCTGCTGCTGTTGTTGTTGTTCTTGTTGATTGCCATTGAGTTGCGCACAACTCATAGCGACTTCATGAACAAAAGATCTGAGGCCTTTCTATATATGTCATTTCTCCAAGTTCATAGAGTTTCCAGAAGCATGTGGTTTAGGAGGTGGATGCCACTCCTGCTTCCCAACCTGTCTTAAAACTGGGAGCTCCATCAAACATGGTCCACCCTGGGCAGCTATTATGGCATTTGAGACCCCAATGATAAAAGGTTCAGCATCACAGCAAATCTAGATTACCTCAGCACAGCAAATTGACAGAAGAGTCCTGTACACCTTAGAAGAATGTTCCTCCAAAATATATAAGGGATTAAAAGATAATACCTCAGACCCAACTTATTAAATATAAGGACCTTTCAGAAGGTTTTGTTGACTCTAAACAAGAGGCTTTAAAATAATAATAATAATAATAATAATAATAATAATAATAATAACAACTATTATTATTATTAAATTAAAAAAGAATTCCACAATGACCCTCAACCAAAACAAGAGAGTCCATCTTACAGTGTTCAGTGGCTTCACCCAGTTTCCAAAGTGGAGACAAGGGCTAGGCCTTAAATGCTGTAGAGGTCCAAAAGATCTGTACAAGAATAAGCCCTCTCTTCTCCTCACCAGTCTGATCCATTAATGATTCACTAGAAACTCAGCTAATCTGAACAACCAGCTTGCTGACAAGACTGGTGAGCCAAGAGAGGTTAAGGGAACCATGCGTGTGAAACTACAGTGAAAAAACCAGAAGCCCAGAATTGAGTCTCACAGTTGAGGATCTTTTCTTCTCCCTTATTTTCTTTCCCAGCCACCCCTCACCCCCAGCCAACAAAACATGAATGTATTTTATTTGGTGGCTTAAACATCTTAGCTCCATCTCACCCAGTCTCATCTGAAGTCATGAGGAATAACAGAAGATACTTCGGGGTGAAACTCTGCAAATTCCACATATGGTTCCCATACAGTTGGGATTAATTTGCCAAACAATACCTGGCAGGCAACTCCCTCAGGTGCAGTTTGTCCATTCAGAGGCAAATCTACAATTCCAGCCAGAAAGACAGAACCATTTTGTCTTATAAATCTCTTTGCAAGTGGACCCAGCCTCTCTCAAAACCATGGAACATTGACTGTGAAGGGGGGGGGGGAGAAGAAACAGCCCTTGTAAGAGGTGTAACTTGCCTTTCCCTGACTGACACACTCTCTCTCTCTCTCTCTTTCCTTGATGGTAGTGAGGAATGTAAAAAAAAAAAAGCTGAGTGTAATTTCCATTTCTTGTAGAAATTTCATTCTCATCATCATCATTCTCTTGAAAATGCATTTATCTAAGAGCATGCTTTTTTTCAGCTTGCTGGTAACGATAAAATCATCCCTAAATGAAAATAACTCCACAAACGTCATATTTCTAGCTTCAAAGAAATGGTTGCAATAAACTATTCTGTTCATTTGTAAAGAGAAGGGATATTTTTCAGCACAAAGAGCCTAGGCATGAGAAGACTAACTTAAAATGCTGACCTCACTGC